ATATACTTCATTAGAACGTCATTATAGGTATTTGATTTTTTATAATTCATTCAATATTTTCTTATTTTTTCAATTGTTTATCGATCGTTTAGTATATCTATTATCATGGTAGTTGAACAAGAAAGTTTCTCTTCGAGGATCTAATACGAAATATGCTTTTCTACTATCGAATACATATTATTTACATATATCTTTATTTTTTGTTTGCATTCTATTATTTTTGTCAATAAATATTTCGTTGTCGAAAATAGTTAAATTGATATTTCATTAATACAACCGAACATTCATAGAATCTGTAAAGTATCATAATTCAAGCGATATAACTGAATATATTACTAAAAATACAGAATACGTTTTTTCTAATTTTTAAAACAAAATTATATTTTAAACTTTCCCTGTATTTTTTATCTATATTCTAATAGTTTCTAGAGATAAGTTATTATTCGAAGAGAACGAGATCTTGTTTCTTGTATCTTTTCTTTCGTTCGGTCATCGTTTGTTTGTTTTGATATAGAGTGCACGACATCCAAGTTGTCGTTACACATTCGACATGAAAAAAGAAACACATTGAACAGCAAATGTTTAAAGACAATAAACATGTCGTGCGCTCGATTTTACATTATTCAACACATACACACTGGTTGTTATCGTGCACTGCGTATTATCATTTCGTAACGTCGACGTCGTCTTTCTCGCATCTCTGTATTTTATCTCTTCTTCCTTCCATTTCTGCTTCTTCGTCTCGTTTTTCCTAACAGAAGAACAAACAAATTTAAACTAACTGAGCTTTCGGGGTGGCTCTAAATCAAATGAACCTTGCCAAGGATATCCGACATTCTGTTGGTAACCTGTACAGCCGTGCAGATGGTGGGCCTTCATAACATAGATCCATGTTTGCATGTCTAGAAGCGTCCATCTCGTCATCGTCTCCTTGGAGATAATTATCATGGATGTACTAGTGATACATACATAAATATATGTTTGCCTAACCATTGCCGGCTTTGTCCACTGCACAGCCCAACAGAATAAGGAGGGTATCCCTGGTCGCGCATGCGAGACATTTTTGCAGCTGGTGCGGTAAGGCAAGCCAAATGACCAAGAAGTCCAATTTATTTTCTCGTTTAAAAAAAAACATTACATTCTCTTTTTTACATTTTCAATGTTTCTTTTCACACCCGTAACATAAGAATGTGTTGGAGGTAATGATTTTTCGAAAATTTCTTGGGCTTTTTCGTAATATTGAAGTGCTTTCGAGTACTCGCCCATGTTATAATACAGCAAACCGATGTTGTTGTAGGGAGAAGCCAAGTCGGGATGATTCGGAGGGAGAGCTACTTTTCGGATTTCAAGTGATCGTTCGTACGATGAAAGTGCTTTCGAGTACTCGCCCATCTCATGATACACCAAACCGATGTTGTTGTAGGAAGCAGCCAAGTGGGGATGATTCGGAGGGAGAGCTATTTTTTGGATTTCAAGTGATCGTTCGTACGATGAAAGTGCTTTCGAGTGCTCGCCCATCTTATAATACACCGAACCGATGTTGTTGTAGGAAGAAGCCAAGTCGGAATGATTCGGCGGGAGAGCTATTTTTCGGATTTCAAGTGATCGTTCATGCGATGAAAGTGCTTTCCAGTACTCGCCCATGTGAGAATACACCATACCGATGTTGTTGTAGGAAGAAGCCAAGTTGGGATGATTCGGAGGGAGAGCTATTTTTTGGATTTCAAGTGATCGTTCATACGATGAAAGTGCTTTCGAGTACTCGCCCATGTTATAATACACCGAACCGATGTTGTTGTAGGAAGCAACCAAGTCGGGATGATTCGGCGGGAGAGCTATTTTTTTGATTTCAAGTGATCGTTCGTACGATGAAAGTGCTTTCGAGTACTCGCCCATGTTATTATACATCAAACCGATGTTGTTGTAGGAAGAAGCCAAGTCGGGATGATTCGGAGGGAGAGCTACTTTTCGGATTTCAAGTGATCGTTCACACGATGAAAGTGCTTTCGAGTACTTGCCCATGTTATAATACACCGAACCGATGTTGTTGTAGGAAGAAGCCAAGTTGGGATGATTTGGAGGAAGAGCTATTTTTTGGATTTCAAGTGATCGTTCATACGATGAAAGTGCTTTCGAGTACTCGCCCATGTTATTATACACCGAACCGATGTTGTTGCAGGAAATTGCCAAGTTGGGATGATTCGGAGGAAGAGTTTTTTCTTCGATATTGAGTGATTTTTCATGAAATTTAACGGCCTCATTGTATTTTCCTTGATCGGCTTTGAACAGTCCAAGGTTATTATAGTAAACGGCTCTATCACTTTCATCAGATGCCTGTTTGAGTAACATTGTGCATACTTGTTCAGACTTGTGAGTCTCACCTAATTGCCATAACAAGAAACTCATTCGTCCCCATCCTGTCCCACTGATCTCCTCTCGCATTCGCTGGGTAAGAGCATTAAGCTGCTGGTCGTCGCTGTCACTAGTGAGTGTAAGTTTAACTTGCCGTATGGTCATTTCACCTTCTTGTATTTCTTTGATTTGCTGCACACGAAAAACTGTATGCATTGAAAACAGGATTTCTTTTTCTGTCTTGAAATAACTAAATTGGTGGATACGGGCAAATGGAGCCGATGAAATCGATGGATTAATAGTCATTTCGAAGAGAATAGCAATTGTATTCTGATCAGCAGACTGAGGCCCTTTCGGAAGAAAACGAATGGCCACCTTTCGATCATCACTTGTTGATAAGAAATTATTGAACGAAATCAGTCCACCTTGTTTGATTTTATTTTCAAAATCTTCCTTGCTCATGGCTTGACCTCGGTAGACTGTCATTGTCGTTTTTGCACCATGAATTTCATTGAATTGTTCTGAATAAAGTTTCTCGATGTTTTTATGAAGGTCTCGAATGAAGATACCCATTTTGAGTAGAGTTTCGACTTGTAGAGTACGTAGTGCTTTGTTGAGCATCTGATACGTGAAACAATTTCGAGTGTACCACCAAATGGGCTTGTTGTTTCCATTCAAATTACCTTGATAGTCTTGAGCGAATTCATCGATAACTTGCAAGTGTCTGTCATTGCCGATATACTTCTCGCGGGCGTAATCGGCTAAATCCTTAATTTCTTTCTTTTCATCGAAATTGATTTCAAGAATTATTTCTTTGAAAAGTTTTGTATACATAAATAATGGTTCTATTTGATTTAATGACGACGATACAGCACTAATCGTGACTGAATCTTCGTCACATTGTTGAGCTGATTGTCGAACTGCGTCACAGATTGAAGTCATTTCGGCGAAAATACCTTTTACTTTGAACCAATCTTTTCTCCATTGTTCATACAGTTCTTGTTTCCGACAAAAGACATAAATTGAATTCAGTTGTGTCATATTATGAATGAGTGGCACAACTGTTTGACATAAAACGCCGGATATAATGAGAAATGACTTTTCATTTTCAAGATCTGAAATATAATCGATACATTCATCTGTATCACGAAATATTTCAATGGTATTGACTGTTTGTCGTAGTTGTTTGATAGAATTGAGACAGTCACTGCTAGATTGATCGATTTTTGCGTCAAGCCAAATCAAAATATAATTTTGTACAATATCATTTGTATCAGTATGACGATCCCGTTTCGGAATGTGATTTGGGTCTTCTACTTTCTGATTTAATGTAGAACTCGACGATGGATGATTAGTGCTGAAAGAACTCGACACTGCTGATAATGCATCGCGATCCATATTGTTTGATTGATTGTACGTAATGTGAACAAATTATATGTATTATTATGTGTGAATCTGAAATCATGAATGAATGGCTGCTATTCAACGACAAAGCTTCCTTATTTAAAAAAAATTTTCTTTGACGAGGATTTTTTATTCTCAATTATCAATATATATCTTTTTTTTGATACTCAAGGAGGTAGCCTGACTTCAAAAAGAAGGCGAGGGATGGGGTGTGGGTGTAGATGTGAGTATATTAATTCCACCCATATTCATACCCAGATCATGCAATTCATTAGAAGGATACAGAGGACGAATCTGGTAGCATCAAACTTTTGAAAAAAAGGTCCATGATTTTTGAAAAACTATCACAGTAACACATTTTAACGACAATGTTTTGATAAAGGAATACGATTTTGAACACGGTGCGGCAAGCTATAAAACAGAACCAGTACCATTGAATTTCGAGCAAAGATCTACTAAATAAACGCTTTTTTGCATCATTCGCATGGTAGGTGGGTGTGGACGTAAAGAAGGCAACACTCACACCCACACTGTAAGTAATAAATGAATAGCCGTGGTCGAATGGTAATAAGGTAGAGCAATGAATAAATGAGTACTTACCGGGGGCAGGAGATGCGAAGAAACTCGTTCGTCTTCTTAGACAGAGTTTGTTTCTTTTTTTGTTGACACTTTTTGGTCAGTTGTGATACGAGTATGTGTAGTTCGTTACTGAGGACTTCTTATCTTTAGTTTCAAAAGTGAAGAAGATGTGAGTCTGTATCAAAGATCAACAATGAAATGAATGCATTGTCATTGAAAAACAAACAGAATAATCGAAAGACCATGATAAAATAAATGTTGTTCTCATTGTTATCAAGCTTTTTTTTCAACATAGTAGTAGGTATGGGTTGCTAGAAAGGACGTGTTTGATATTGATAAGGTTAAAGAACAAAGACATTCATTCTGAAGACATGGTTTTTTCAATGAAGGAACGTGTGTTGGGTGAGATGGATGATAGATAGGTAATAGTAAACAACACACATGTTGATTCTCACTCATATCCACATACCCACCCTGATTATTATATCATAGGATATCATAAAATATATTGACTTGTTTGAAATAATCTTTAACAAAAGTATAACCTTTTTGCCTTGTTTTTCTTTCAGATACAAGTTAGTAGATACCTATCAATCGTTTATCACATGATCAATTGAAAGACTTGAACGAAAAAATGATTTATGTATATATATATTTATATATTTAACAGATGTGGAGGCATGAAAAGTTCTTGAGAATTTTATTCATTGATTATAAATAGATGTATATTGAAGAATAGCTAATGAATATTTGAAAAAACATAAAAATAATTTAATAATTGTTTATGATCGTTGAAGAAGGTGGTATGTTTTTCTATTATTCAACAACGAGAAATAATGACATTTAAATGTATAAATTTAAGAAAAAATATTCATATTATTGAATATGTTTTTATTTCAAACTCCGATAAATAAAAATTGTCTTGCAACAAGACAAAAACCTATTGAAATAGGAATGTTTTGTTTGCTTTGAAATCTTAATCATAGATAGAACTCGATGAACACTAATCGTTGCAAGCACCAGTCCAAGCTCTATTGTATTAGTTAAACTGAGATAAAATCACACTAACAAGGTTTTTTATGTGGTGTTATGTCAAGCAGAGAAAATAGATCTACCGAAGTCAAACAATCCTATTATAAGATCTTGTATGATTCTTACAAGATCATATGAAAACTGGAATATGGAAAAATGATTTTTTTAATGAATATTTCAAATTCATCAAATTTTAAATAACACACATTTATTGAGAAATATTTCAAATTGGAAATATTTCTTGGTATTTCTCTTTTTATTGAACTATTTCAATTTAAACACATACCAGTTAATTGGCTAAGTCTTAGTGTACACGAAAGAGTCATAACTAATTCATGGATGACACATTCATAATCAATAACTAAGTAGATGTTCAATAGGACTGTATTCATCGGTTTTATATGATTGTTGAATAGGTGACAAATATCTAATTGCTGGAATTTTGTTATATTTCTGTAAACGCAAAGGGACCATCAATAAAGGACATTGAGGTAAAAATCACACTAGTTTCCCTCCTTCTCTCTAATCCATCCAGTTTCATCAACTCCCTGTCCCCTCCTTAACATCAATTATAAACTAAAAAGAGTCTTCTTATTCAAATATTCCATTTCCTTTTTATTAACTAAATGTACAAAAAATAGAAATCAATAAACACATATTTCATAAACAACATACACAAATATAATCTATCATAAATCTTTTAAAAATACATTCGATTTTAATGAACAGAAGAAATACTTATGACACTTCTCCAGAAAATAACTATCTATATATGTAGCATCCTCAATTATTTCAATGCCACATTTATATTCAACACGATTCATTCAGTTCATTTCTTATCCAAAAATGCTCTTACGAATTTTGTCGAAAGTTGCATAAAAGAAAAGGAAGATATTCATAGTAAGTGTCTAGATGTCCAGAAATATTTGACCACTTCCACCCTTCTAGAGTTCAGTAGGATGTAGGTGTGGTGAAAACAACACCCACACCCACCCCCGCCAATCTCGATCAGCCATTTCTAAACTTTTATCAGACCAACGACATTTTTATCTTTTTCTCAATCAGATTTAAGACGATCTCTAAAAAGTAACGAATGACTAAAACTCTTATTTTTTTCAATATAATTTACGTTGCTCGATCTTTTTCTTCTTATCAACGTACGTCGTTTTTCAAGAAGGTCACTATGAAATTTCGATACATTTTTTTTTGTTTATTAATATCAATACTAACTATATGATCACGATCAAAAAATTATATTTGATTTTTTTTTTCTTTACAGATTGATTATAATCAACAGCTGTATATTTTCACCAGCATTCCAATCAAAAGCAAAATTTCGACCATTTAAACGACGAACTTTACGTTTATTCTAGAGAAAATACTAAAAG